ATAGATGTCCGAATCCATGGCCGCCTTCGACAGCGACATCGATATTCTTCCGTCACTTTCCTCACCATTTTCGGTGTTAAGACTCGCTTTCTTGGCCTGAATTTCACGGATCTGTGACTCGATTTCTGTCGACAAAGACATCATTTGTTAAATACTTTACATTAAAATGCAAACAAATTGTGCAAAAAAAGGCAATTAATACAAACCCTCGTGAGTTCGCGCCGGTTGTGACATATCGTGTCTTTGGTGTCTTGTCTTGTGATTATGCAATCGATTCAATGTTTAATATTAATTGCAATTAAAGTTAAATTAAATGAAAACACATTTTTGTCGTCAAATGAAGAGTTTGTTTACACAAAGTGTTGAACAAAACGTCAATTCAATGAAAACCTGAACCAAAATGGAGTCAAACGTTGGCTTTACTGCCGGTCACGACATCTCTCGGCCGTCACTTATGCCATCATTGGATGTGTGCCTCAAAAGCCTCCACTACTGACCCAATGCATTGGCAATGACACGTCCACTGCCCCACTCTTTCACACTATTTTTACCCCCATTTAATACAAATTAATTTTTTTTATAAATTATGTTTAATTTTGAAATCAAATTAAATGAATACAAAAAAGCAATTGAATAAATGGTATAATAATTACTGTTAAGTTTCTCAAAGTTTTAGTGAAAGTCATATTCAAAGTCAGACACATATTCCGAGCGAAAAATGTTGAGATTTGATGACAAAAATACGATTAAATATATTGAAGTTATATATGAATTACATTATATTGAAATGCAATTGAAATTATAATTATCTGATAGTAATTCCGGACAAAGAGTTGACACAAAAATAGGGAAAAATATAGAAAATAAGTGTTTGTGAGGCTAAACACAAAATGTCACAATAAAGTGATGCAACTATTGTTGGACTTAATGAGTCATTGGTTCAATAGTTTCTTCCCTGTTGGATCAATGTATTGATTCCGGCGTTCATCTGCTTCTCCTGAACCGACTGTTTGTATTCAATGATAGCGTCAGTCAAATCATTGATGATCTGTTTGGCGACACGAATGTCTTCGTCGCCCTCCAGTTTGCAGGCCTTGATCTGCTTGAGAGCCTGTTTCAGCACTTCTGTCTGTTGGCCCGACTCGACAGTAATGATGTCGGACTCGACATCGACCTGAGTCTCATCAGGAATGGTCACCTTCTCGTGTCTGATCTCGAAGTCTCCTCTGCCGTACACGAGCTCCAACTCTTGAGCTCTTCCCTGAGCCATACGCATGAGCGCAAC